GGATGACTCTTGGAAAGCTCCCTGCATACCTATCCTACGTCGGTCAGACTGCCTCCCGTTGCTGATAGGATGACCATACTATTACACACAACCACAGAAGCATCTCTCTCCATACCAGTAGTAAACACAGCCCAGGCTCCCAGGCTCCTCACGCCCTCAGGTCTGCGTCCACCCCGCGGGATATCCAATCCGCAATGGCCATGACGGTGATCATGGGATTCACGCCACTCGCGCTGGGAAACACGCTGCCGTCCGCCAAGTACAGGTTCTCAGTGCCCCAGACCCGGCCCCTATCGTCCACTACGCCATCGTCCTTGCTTGCGCTCATCCGGCACGTGCCCATCTGATGGGCCGACGACCAGGACGCTGCTGGCGGCTTGTTGCCGACCTCGCGGACTCGACGTAACCAGGCGGCAAACTCCGGGTCGCTGGTCTCGGGGTCGGCCACTGGGCCGTTCCCCTCGATGGCATGTTCTGATGGGGGCTCCCCAGTGCGGATGAAGGGCTCGAGGCCTGGTAGGAGAGGGCGGATTTCGGTCGCCCCCGTGACATGGCAGATCTTGGCCAAGGCCTCTACCCCTTGGAGCGTGTGGGCTCGATCATAGTCGGAGGGAGTGTAGTCTATCCGAGGTCTGCCTGTCGTCGGGTCGGGGTAGACCCTGCCAGCGTCGCGGTCTCGGGTTATCGAGATCCATCCATTCATGTGGCGATATTTGGCTAACTGGAGTTTGACTTCCAGACCACCGCGCCAAGGCACCATAGAGAGCATTGTATAAGGCTTGACGATGTCAGACTCAAGTTTGATGACATTGGCTGCCGTGGCTTGATACTTACCACCATGCATGTAGTCTCCAGCTTCACCCCATACCCACTCCCGTCGACATTGTCAAACTGGGGTGAATAGCTGGTGATGATGCCCCCCTCCCAGGGCCGCACCTCCTCCCTGTACACTGCTGAGACGAAGTTGCAAGGATGGAGGTGTAGATTAGCTCCCAGGTGTTGGTTCTGGATGGGTTAGTCGAAGCCCCCTGACTCAGTTCTGACCAAAAGACTTACATTAATCCCGCTCTTCATCAACACCACCGGACTCCATAATGAGCCTGCCGCAAGGATCACCTTCTTGGCCTTGACCACTACTCGCCGCTTCACTCTGTCACTGTCACCTTTACCAGTATCCCTCGATACCCATTCTCCCTCGACGCCCGTGGCGCTCTGCCCGTCTGGACCAAACAGTACCTTGTCCACCTGGAATCCCTCCATGAACCGAGCACCGGCGTTTGCAGCATCTGGCAACCAGCTCGTAGCAGGCCCTCGCTTTTCGGCTAGGCCGCAGCCCAAGTGACACTGGCCACAATAATGCTCCTTGTCAGCCGTGTTCTGGGGTGCTGGATGTGCAGTCCATCCAAGCTTCTCGGAACCGCTGAGGAGGACACGGTTACGGTGATTGTGACGGATACTATCAGTGCCCGCTCCCTGAAACTCCCAGACGCGGTCTAGACACTCGTCGAAGGCGCTCGATGTGAAGAAGGGAAGGCCCGAATCCGCCCACTCCCTCCTCACGAAATCCTGGGGCTTCAGACACACGCTCCAGTTGACGGTACCTCCTCCACCCCATGTGCTGCCAGCCGCTACATTGCACCCGTTGTCGTCAGTGATGTAGAAGCCACCGTTATCAAAGAGGTGAGTACTCGCGGCATCCTGGGGCATGGGGAGATGTGATGGCTCAAAGTGATATGCCTTGTCGACGACTAGGACCCTGTGACCGGCTTCTGCGAGGTTCTTGGCAGATACACCTCCGCCGCAGCCAGAGCCGACGATGACGACGTCCGTCTCAATGACATGAGTGTCGTCGGCCGCCTCGAGCTGGAGAAAACTGTATTTAAAGCCTGGTTTGGGCTGCCAATCCTTGGGCGTATCCGAGTAGCCGGATATCTGACGAAAGATGGGGTTAGTCTGACAAATGGACTTGAGAGCCAGGGTAGAAAAGATTTTTGCCAAGGTCCTCCATACGTCACGGCTTGATGTGGCCCAAGACTTGAGGATGGCTTCGCGGACGTAAGCTGGCTGGTTGAATATGGGCTGCCAGTAGCCAGTTATGAAGTAGCTACCAGGGCGGGTGCTATAAAAGCAGATCAGCTTGCTGTCAGCTTCTGGGTCTAGATGTTTGGGCTCACGCCATCAAAGTCAACAGTCGACCCAATCGCCTCTGCTGGCTCGGCGGGCTGAGGGCTAATGTCCTCAGGAGGTTCTCCTTGAAGCGGGGATCCAGGATTGGGCGATCCTCGAGGAACGCGCGGATATTGTCCCCAGTGGCTGGAGCCGCGAGGGGCTCAAGAGCCCGGTTGACGGTGTCGTCGAACTCATCATCAGGGAGCTGGATCTGGCCTTGGTCATCGGTGGCGGCTGACTTTGAGGTGATGGAGGGGACAGCCCCGTCCATGAGAGCAAAGAAGACACTCCATTGAGTTGGACTGAAGAAGTCATCTGGTGGGAGTTCCGGTAGAGCCGTGGCGACGGGGGCCTGAAGATGGGGTTGTGGAACAGTCATGGTCAAGGTGATGGATGATGTGACGAGGAATTCGAGAGTAACTGTCTTACATGGCTTCTCACATAAAAGCCCGCCCAAGTACAAGAAAAGAGACAGACAAAAGAGGGGTATCACGGCATGAGATGCTCGGAGGCCGAGGACATTTAAAAGATTGCCCTGGTCTTGTTTGCTTTGAGGGAGAGGATCTCTTAGCCCATGTAAATTGTCTGTGCCACTTAAACAACGGGCCAGGGTGTTAGTGTGGTAGGCAAACAGAGCATACTCCGAATAAAGCCAGTAGAAAGTGAGGGGAAACTCCCGAAGAGGAAAAGGCTGTTGGTAGGGCTGGCATCATGGATCCTCGGCATCTCTAGAATTGTATTTGTCTCGTGATAGTAGATGGGAGAAGGCAATGACTGAGAATGGATTCTTTAAGTCGAGTCTAGTAGATACGGATAGTGGTTGGCGCCTTTTCTAGCCTACGCCGGGATCTTGAAACACGACAAGGGCCTCGGAAGGAAAAATGTTTCACGGTTATATTAACGGCTCTTTTGTGTTAGTTTAGTTACTAGAGATTCTTTATTTGCTTTTCTATATGCTCATTTTGAGGGGAGAAGAGGCATCATTCAACCGAGGCTGCTTGCGTGAGGTCTGGAGAGCTAGTTATGCGAAGCTCGCAACCTAGGTAGGATTGGGTCAATAGAGGACCTCAGAGTGCTTTGTCGATTAGATCGAAAGCACTGCCTATTTCGCAAATCCGACTCTTATTGATAAGATGCAACTGATAAACTACACCTTCCTCTTGTTCTCACCCAGTCGCTGTTGATTGCCCGGGAGGCGCGACACTCGGGTTCACCTGCCGTATTGCTGAACCTGGTCCTTGTAACCTGATATCTCAGGTGCACGCCCAACAGGCAAGACCCAATGCGAATGCGCAGATTTCAAACGATTCTTTCCCTCAATTATCCCCTTTCATTAAACCGCTTCTTCATTCTTTACAGTCCTCGCTTTGTACAGCGTCTCATTGCCGGTAGATGGGCGGCATTCACCGGCCTTGTCTCGCCGATCCCGCATCAGTCATTATGAATGGCTATCGGAACCGGCAACCGGCCCGGGCCTGCGCCCTCTCAACTACACCTCTCAAGACTACATGAACGAGCGTCTATAAGGCGTCTCCCCAAACATAAACTCGTCAATTCGAAATCTAAATTCACTTCGACTTAGAATCGACATAGTCACACACGATGGACAAGGCTAGAATCCTGCTTGTGGGCTGCGGCGGTATTGGCTGCATGGCCGCCCTGAACCTGGAATATGGTGGACGAGCTGCTGTCACAGCCGTGTTACGCTCCAGCTACCAAATTGTTAAGGAGTCTGGCTTCACCATAAACTCGGTCGATCACGGAAAAGTTCGTGGGTTTCGACCAACTGAGAGTATGGTGGACCATCTCCTACTATATCCATTCTGTTACTGACTTCAATCAACAGTCCTGAACTCCGTGCCTGATGTCTCTCGAGCCGGTGTCGCGCCTTTTGACTACATCATTTGTGCCACCAAAAACATGCCGGACATTGGCCCATCCATCGCTGACCTTATCCGTCCTGCTGTCACTCCAGGTCATTCTACCATCTTGTTGCTTCAGAATGGACTCAATATCGAGGTGCCCCTGTTGGAAGCATTCCACGACAACGTCATCCTCTCGGGTATCAGCATTTGTGGCTCCTCGGAGCCTGTCACTGGGACAATCGAACACACACTTCATGACGAGTTGCGCGTTGGTCCGTTTCGCGACGAGGGCGACGCTGCTGATCGAGCAAGGGATTTCGTCACTCGGTATAGCGCTGGAGGACGTTGTACCTGTCACTTCGACTCCAATGTTGCCTTTTCGCGCTGGCGAAAGCTTCTCTACAACGCTGTCTATAACCCAGTTGGTGCCTTGACGAATCTTGATACGGGCGACATGCAACTTTGCCCTGGACTCGTCGACGATGTCGTTCGGCCTGCGATGAAGGAGATTCAGGCTGCGGCGGCCGCCTACGGACAAGAGATTCCAGACGATGCTATAGAAGCAATGATCACAACGGAACCTATCGAAGCTCATGTTCCACCAAGTATGCTTGTCGACGTGCGGAAGGTCTGTACCCATACCCCGTCTTCCCACCCGGCGGTTGCAGATAAGCAGTCACTCACGCATCTCTCAGGGGCAATACATCGAGTTTGAGAACCTCATTGGTGAGCCCCTCAGGGCTGCTAAAGCTCGTCAAGTCCAAACTCCCATCTTGCAAAATCTATACTCCTTGGCGAGGAGTTATCAGTGGAAGGTCAAAGCAAAGCGCTCGGGTTGAAGGAGGATCGGTTCAAGTTGATTCAACTCATATTCGATTAATCTCGATGTACGCCCAATCCATCCAGTCCTAGTGGTATTCGCGAAACAGCAAGTTGCAGCCAGCCTCCTTACACCCGAACATTGGATCAAAAGTCATACTCACCGTCCATACCCGCAAGAAGAAACTCCAGTGCTGAAGGCACAGGTAGAAGATCCAAACCTTGGCCACTCTCAGCCATATCCATCCCATTGTCGATGAAACCGTCACTGTACGGGATACCCCCTTGCGCAATATCCCTGGAAGTGTTTCCTGCGCCTTGTCCTGCCATTGCGCCCCCAAAGTCATAATTGAAAGCATATGGTGGACCGGCCTGTCCATGGGGTAGGCCTTGGCCCGGAAGTTGTTCACGATGACCAAGACCGGAGGTCCTAGAAGATGTTTGGAATCCTGTGGCTGCAATACCTCCAGCCGGACTCTGGGGGATGCCACTGGAAGTGGCGAGAGGATCAGGGCGCAGGGAGAAGCGCTCTAGACCGTCGTTTTGAGGACCTTCGTTTGAGCGCTGCAGCCCTCTTGCGACTGAAGCCTCAGCAGAACCGTCAAGATTGGCCCTTGGCCTGTTCCACATGGTTCGTTCCTCGAACAAGCGCAACAGACTCTCGGCATACAGCCAGTGACGCGATAACTCTCGCAGAGTGACTACGAGGCACTCAAACATGCGCAACGACTTTGCAGCTACGAGAGGATTGGCTGAGTTGAGTTCACTGGCCACATGCAGCAAGGCCGTGAAGAGCACATGAACCGCTGGGAGCCACAAATCACACAAGAGGTCTCTTGAGCGGAGCGACTCAAAAATCGAGTTGATAGCTGCAACGGCGTCACCGCAGATGCTCATATCGGTAGCTGTGTCTGGTGAGAAGTGCTTTGGATCTTGGCGAGGCGGTGGCCGATGCAGCAGGATCAAAAAGTTATTATAAGAGAGGTGAAGGGTTGCCTGCCAGATATCTGGCTCTGGAAGCGACAAGCGAAGACTCTCTGGCAGCTGGGTTATGAACTGAGCCAACTCTTCATCGGCCTGCTTCGTCACTTGAGCTCGATCAGCTGGCGAGGCTCGGATTGCCACTCGCCCCTTCATGGCCTTGGAGAAGATTATGCAGAGCTGGGTGTGTTGAATCGCGAATGCGCAGTTTGCGTACGGGATACCATCAAAGTGCTTCTCATGCAGCATGGGCGCATCGGACTCGTCGAGGTTTCTGACTTTGTTAGAAGACACGCATTACGGCTCTGAGCTGGGACACTCACATTGCCTGTGGTCGGCCATAGGAAGCTGAGACCATGACATCAAACTGGAAGACAGACCACCAGAGCCGAACCCACTGGGACTTGTCCATGGTGTTGAGGCTGGACGGAGCTGCATCTCGGTGCATGCCCAGGCCCATGGCCGTTCGGGCAGCGACACCTACCCAATGCCAAGAATTGGAGACGATGTCTTCAAGATTGTCACACTGCCATGTTAGGAGAAGGGCAACCTGAAGATAGGACTCGCGATGCTGCTCAAAGCGACAATCGAACAGCAGCTTTGCTCTCCGGAAAAAGTCGAACTTTATGGCCTTGACGTCCTCGCGATGGGAAGACAGGACATGTGCACCAACAAGACAGACGGCGTGGAACAAGGGCAGAGAGATCTGCCTGTAGGCGTCTGTTCCATTATATCTTGCCATGAACTCTTCCTCATCGACAACAGGGAACCCCCTATTCACGTGAGTGAAGTAGGCCCTGACAAGCTCATCGGCCAGTGCCTTTGGGGGCAACTGGAGTGCTTCCTGCGGCACTGAAGGTATCTTTCGAGCAAGCGGGTGGCTTCCAAAGTGCACGACATTCTGGTCCGGCTGTCGAGCTCGTTGGCGAACTAGGTAGTTGAGGTTGGAGAACTCAGTGCCGATGTAGTAGAGGCGGGCGGCTCGAGTGATCTCGCCCACTCTTACTTCATCTTGGTCAATGAACTCTGCTAGGTTACGTGTGGCCTGCTCATCCTCGCAGTTTCCGGCGGCGGAACCGTGGATGGTGGAAGGGGAGTCGTTGTGATGATATCGGGCCCTGTTGTCGGCTGACGATGAACTCGGTCGAGGAATAGGGTCTGTCGAGCCATCCGCCGAAATACCGGGCCACCGGGGTGTTGGAGTGGGTGTTGCAGGTGCTGTTACGGGCTGCTGGCCACGGTGACGAGGCTGAAGGGGGATATTTGTTGGCCGGTTTATACGTGCCAGCGTGGACCTTGTCTTCTTCTTCTCGTACAGCCGGCAGTTTGACCTGTCCTGGGACTGACAGTTTGAGCAAGGTATGCCCTTTTCCAAGATATCGCACCGAACTTTTCGCTGATGGCAGACAATACAGGCTCTCCCATCTGGAGCAAAGCAACATGAACAGTTAGTCTTATGCACAAGGAACCTAATGCATTGACGGCTAGTAGAAACGACAAAACACCAACACAAGAGGAGAGATGAATCATCTCTACAGAAGCAACAATTCAATATAAGGAGGGGGTTTCATACTGGTTCTTCGTCGAGCAGGTCCTGTTCGAGGTTGCCGGGAGTCGTTGGAGGCCGGCTCCGGATGCCGATGCTCGGCGGGCCCTTCTGGTGACATTTTTTTTAATTTTTTTACAAGACAGCGCCCTTCCTCCCGTCGAGATTTCTAAGCCGCAAAAACTCCCGACAGGAATTTGGGGGTAAAAAGGCTCGGCCGAATCGAATCGTTCAACAGGCATCACATGGGCCGAGTCAAGTGGATGTATCAATGACGGATCAAAACCGACAGCTCGGACTCGGGAGTTTGTGGGTCAAATAAAAACCGAGACGCAGACGCTGGCTTGACGCCTTCGGCCAAACTGTCCAATGACGGAGCGAGAAAGGCTCTGGCTTATACACGACAGAAGACCAAGAGTTCGCGACCGGTCTAATGTCCACGATGAGTTGAGTCAAGCCAACAGTGACAAGTCGGAGAAGGGAAAGAGACAAGAAAATTTTGTGTGAATTACCCACAGTGGGAACACAGCAATGGAGATGGCTTGGGAGAAGACGGATATAAGAGCCGACAACCTGCCCAGGCGTAAAGCAGTTGACTCGAGTTGTAATAGACATCAACACACAATTTGACCTTTTACTTGGCCAATTGTTTCAACATCATGGGTTCCGACGAGACTCGGTGCTTTGGCGATGATGCCACCCGCAACCACACTGTTGTCGACATTGAAGAGAGAGGAGACTCTTCGGATGAGTCGAGCTGGTCCGACAGCGAGTCTTGGGATGCCACCAAGTTATCGTCGGTCAGTTAATTGTTAAACAAGTGTAGACTAGGCGATACTGACATGCTCAAGATGAGAAAACTGCACATCATCGTCGCCGGTTTCACATGCACATTCAACGGCAACTTTGGATCGTCGATGCCTTCAGGTGCTCTGGATGCCATCGCCGAGCAGTTCAATGTCACCAACCCCGTTCACCTCATCCTCCTCAACTCTCTGTACATGGTTGGATATGTTCTCGGCCCTCTGCTCTTTGGCCCTCTCAGCGAGTACATCGGTCGTCGACCTGTCTTGATCGGTACCTACCTAGGTTATCTTGTCTTTATGCTGGCATCATCAGGTGCTCCCAACTACGCGGCCCTCCTCATCTTCCGTCTTCTTTGTGGAATCAACGCGGCAGCTCCTACGACTGTTATTGGCGGACTGTACTCCGACATCCTAGACAACCCCTCAGTGCGAGGCAATGCTATGGCCCTTTACATGGGCATCACCACCTTGGGTCCCTTGGTTGGCCCCATCGTCTCGGGCTTCTCTTCTCCAATCTCGTGGCGCTGGCCATTCTGGATCGCCGGCATGATGGCGGCTTCTGGATTGCCTCTCGTCCTCACACTCCCGGAGACGTACGCCCCAGTCCTTCAGAACAAGGTGGCGCTCAAGCAACTCAAGAAGAACCGCAAGTCGGGCGAGGGCCAGGTTCCCGAATTGAAGCCTTTCGACGTCCGGAAGATCTTCCTACGACCCATGAAGCTTCTGTTCACGGAACCCATCCTTGCCTCCACTTCGGCATATCTCACACTCGTGTACGCCGTCTTCTACCTCATGTTCCAGGCGTATCCCCGAGTCTTTCAAGGTAAGCATACATAAACTTGGTTCATATAGTCTCGGGGCATCCCTAACGTTAATCTGCTGAGCAGGCTTTTACGAACTTTCGCCAGGAATGGCCGGACTTGCATTTCTGCCTTGTAAGTTAACCCGCTGCTGTGCTCTACACATTAAGACAACTCGCTAACCTGTCCCCTGCAGTGGCTGTTGGATCGATCCTGTCTCTGGTGGTTTTCTACATCTTTACTTGGTATCATGATAGCCAAACCAAGGCCGGCGCGGAATGGACCAAGAACCACATCTATCGCCGCCTGCCCCTTGCCTGCATCGCTTCTCCTTGGTATGTCCATCCTTTCCTCAACCCCGAACTAGTCGATATTGTATGGCACGAGATACTAACTCGTTGGCTTGTAGCATGGTCATCTCCCTATTCTGGCTTGGCTGGACCGTCTGGCCCAGCGTGAACCCTATCATCCCATCTCTGGGCGGTCTCTTTTTCGGTCTGGGCTTCCAGCTTCTGTTCATGGGAATGATCAACTATCTCACGGACGTCTTTCTCCAATACTCGGCATCTGCCCTGGCTGCAGCCAGTATGACACGCTCCATCGGCGCCATTCTACTCCCGCTCGCTGCCGACAGCATGTATGCCGACTTGGGCCTCCACTGGGCGCCCTCGGTGCTGGCTTTTATCGCGCTAGCCATGGGAGTCATTCCATTTGTCTTCATCAGGTACGGTGATCGCCTGGCGAGGAGCAGCAAGACGGCCAGGGCAGCCTTTGCCATCCAGGACTAAGTCCACAATGCACCACTTTAATTTTGAGAAGCGGCTGCATGACGGCGACATTACTTGATGACATTTTGACATTGCATCATAGACTGCATTAGAAAAAGCGACTTGGATTTGTGTACACATTGGTTGAGTTTAAAATGGTAGAGAGGAGACAGACAATGGGCGTTTTTGGGCTAGAAATGGAAAATCATGATATAAAATAATGATAATTTGAGCTTCTGAAACTATTTGTCTCTTACTATTGGTATTTCTGCGTGTCTCTATGCCTCATTTCTCCACCTAGGTGAAAGGTTGGGATGAATTCATGAGTAGACCCCTGGGGCACACTTTATGGCGTCCAACAGTCTACAAGGCAGTATTGCTATTAACCTGAAGTAAGTACATCTTTATTACATCTTTTACTTGGAAAGAATAAATATTTAGACTACAAATCATCACTTTGGGGCTGAACATGTTCTAAAAATGCACAGTATAGGGTTTGACTGAGTCAGGCGTTGGCAACCCAAGCGAGGCACTGACTCTAAGGGAACACCGAGATAAATGTTCCATGTGACGCTGTTGAATGTGACTCTAAAACACCCTGTTATTCCCGAATTATTGCGATTCTACCCAACCTGCAAAAGCCAAAATTGTCAGGTTTTCATGGGAGCCTGAAGAAATTATCACGGCTTCACCGTAACAACCTAACCTAACCTACCCTGCTTGCCCTCATCCACAAACACAAACTGCAACAAACCCCCCCCCACGTACTTGGAACACATCCAGAACCCACAAAGCCCGAGTCTAGAATGCTACCCGTCCATCCAACCTTGCACAAATCCATGACATTTCCCCATCGGCCGACCATCTAGTGGGCGTCGTTAGCAATACATGGAGGGCGCGCGAGAGCTCGGAAATTCTGACCAATGGGCTTTCATCAATCCCCATCACCTCGGGAATTATCATCCCGTGCGTGATCAGAAAGTTTAGAGGAGCCGCATCAGCAGCGTTCGCAGATGAGGAGTCGTGCATGAGAAAAGAGGCATGGATTGTATCCAAGTCTCATGTGGTTGACGTCCAAGTGACTACCTATTCACTATTGACAAGTACTGTGTCCCCAAGGTGACTATGGCACTGCATGATATTCACATCACAAACGTCATCTTTACTTTATGATTGCCCTTCCCTAACAGATCTCTCAACTTTGACTACCATTTGACGATTTGCACGTGTATCCCCCCCTTTCTGGTTGTATCAAGATATCCGGCTCACACAATACACCATCACTTGCACCATAGTTTAGAATCACTACTAGCAAAACTAACTGCTTCAAAGGGCCGTCATCATTGAATCTGACATCTCTTGCGAGGGCATCTGCTTGCGGAACCGTACATAGCCTCACAGCCATGTAACCTGCTCATCCATCACCCAACAACACCTAAACAACACCACAAACCAACATCCGTCCCCCCCTTCCATATATCATATACCCAACCAAACCCAACCAAAGCGAAAAAAAAAAACTACCATGTCCCACAACCATCCTGCCGTGACTGATTTTGATACATTTCCTTTCGTCACCCTGCCGACCCTGCGCCAACGCCTGTAGCGGTCTCCGGTCCCGGTCCCGGTTTTCCCGCTCCCATAAAGGTGCTTCCTGAGTGAAGAAGATGAATGCCATGCCTCTTCGTCCTCGCAAGCTCTGGGCCTGAGCTGCCGTCTGCGCACCCGGCTGAACCGAACCGCTCGCTCGCTCACTCGCCGAGACTCTCCACCCATAGTTATTGTACAAGTATATACTGCAATCATTAGGGCAGCCGCCTTGACTGACACGTCCTTGGAAAAGAAAAGGCCATTGTGGAATAGCCACACACGTCTCCGACAGCATCAGCCTATATAGCCCTGCCTCGGGCCTCTCCAGCTTCTTGTCTGCCTCGAGTCGGATTTCGAGACCCCCCTTTTTTGCGATTCGTTACATCTCATCTTCGCTCCTGGCTGACGAGTACTGTGATACCTCTTCACCCAGTCGTGTCCGCCGTCGATGGCGAGCTCGTGCCCTTATGCCTCCTGAAGAATGGGAAGTCCTTCATCCTGAACCTGCTAGTCTTCTTTTTCAATGACTTGCCCTCGGCCTTGCCAATGCTTCCGCCTGTTGTGCTTGCGTTGGATCTTGTCTCGTCATCCATCGCCGAGTTGTCGTGGTACATCGCTCCCGATGTCTCCTTCAAGCTCGCCGAATCGACGTTGATCGTAGGAATGCCAACTGGATGCTCCGTCGAGTCACCGCTGACAATACTTGTGCCCCGCGTGCTTGGTGACATTGGCATCTTGCCCGTTGTTGCGCTCGTCGCTTGGGAAGCCCAGTCTCCCGAGCATGCCCCCGAAACACTTCCTTCAGTTGTCTCGCTCGATCTTTGCTTCGCCGAGGGCATTGACTTGCCATCAGGATAGCTGTCGCCCCTGCTTCGTGTTTGAAACGGGTCGCTGTTCGCCAACTCTCTGACTGCGTCAAATGATGACGTCGAGCCGTTGATTTCCTGATACTCCTCGAATGAGCCACTCACGGGCGACGCACCCATTGTTCTTTGGCTGTCAGCCGGCGATAGATCTTCTCCCTCCGCACGGGGCTTTGGCAGATCTCCATTACCCACTGGAGTCGAGTCCGACTTTCGGTCCGCTACCTCCATTAGTGACGCTGGCGCTGGCGCTCTCTTTCCCTCCTCTTGTGGTACCGCAAAACTCATAGTCCTCGGCGAAAACGTGCCCTCCTTCAGAAGACGCTTGCGAACTGGGTCATCCAAAGGCTCCTTCTCCTTTTCCTGCTGCAGCTTCAGCTCGAACAAGCTCTTATTCATCTCGAGCTCCTCCACGGTATAATCCATAGCAGGCATGATGTCGGCAACTCCTTGGAATAGCGGGGTGGCAAAGAGGTTCATGAATCCAAGCTGGCTCTTGGCCAATGATGTCATGTCCTGCTTCGGCGGTGACATGAGCGATGATTGAATGCCCAGTTCACCTTCCATCGACGCCTGCCGCGAGAACTCCTCCGAGAGAATGTACGTCCATTTCAACGCTATCTCGTGATTCCTCGCCTAAAAGGACATATTAGTTTTCAAGCCCAGATTGACAAGTCCGAGGATGAACATACCACATTGCTGATGTCGGCACATTTGATGAGAAGTGAGCACGCCAAGGTCTTGGCCTCCTGCAGCTGCCGGCCGTTCCAGCCATCAGTGCTGTTCTCCACTTGAAGACGCTCTTGTACGTCTCCAAGCTTCTTCATGTATTCGAAGTGTAGGCCCATGTCTGTTGCCAGGATTGAGGCAATCATCAGATTACGCATCTTGCTGTCTTCGAAGGCCGCGGGCCAATATCGGCGAAGAATTTGTGAATAAGCTGCGCAGTGGAACGACTCCAATACGGAACGATCATTGTAAAGCTGGGCTAGAGGGGCGTTCAGTGTTACAAGGAACCCGTTGTTGACACCAGGGTGGCCGACATCGTGACCGATGGCAGTGATGAGAAGCGTCAAGGCCTCAAAAGGCGTGATCAACGCGGCCATCGGTGATTTTGCCGCAGAAATCTTGGGCTCGGCACCTGCAGGATAAGGCGGTAGAGCGTTGATGCGAACCAAGAAATGGAAGGTTGCCTGCAAGACGTCCACAACATGGCGAAAGTTGTGATACGGAACAAAATTATTATACGCGGCACGGCAGGCAACGAGAAAGCTGATCAGTTGGTCTAGAGTCGAGGTTAGCATGTGGCCGGCCGTGATCAATACAAAAATAGTAAAACGTACCTGCATGTAGCCGCCATCGCTCGAGTTCAGGCATGGACAAGGCGTGCCTGAACATGTCCATGGCTGCCACCAGCAACTCATCGTCGGAGAGTGAGTGGGCACAGAAACGCCAACTGCCGACTGCAGTAGCAACGGCAGCTTGTCGTTCAGAAGACACGGCTACGTGTGCATTATTGATCTGGTCATCGTTGGTAGACAAACGGCAAATCCCGTTCATCAGCCCCGAAACCATGGCTTCCCGAAGATAGGCAAACGGCTTCTCCTCGTTCACACCAACCCAGGATCGTTTCCGACCTTGCCTAATTTCCAGCAGGGTCTGTTGCTCCTTTGCAGCATCTCTGTGGGCCCGATAAGCGCAGATCTCCAGACTCGTTATGCACTTGACGCTTAGAGGGCTGATGATGACGTCGACAGCGCCAAGATCTAGGCATCTCCTGATGAGTTGACGGTTTGCATCAAGTGACTCCAAAGGCGAAACAACGGGCTCCACAGCGCCATCAGTCATCTGTCCATTCGTAGATGGGTGCTCGATCTGTGGATTGCTGATGACTGGTATCGGGACAATAAGCTTGGACATGCCACGCAAATGGGCTTCGGTGATGATCTTTTGTAGCAAACCAAGACCATAGAGATCTTCGTCTGGGGTGTGAATATCGACATCTTCCGTGGAAGAAGTGGAAGAAGGCGAGGGCGACAGGGGTCTTCTCCGATAATCGTGAACTGGTTCATCGTGTGGAGTGTCGAGAAGTACGAGTGTCGGCTTCAGACCGTTTATAGATATTTCCTGTAATTCGAACAGCTTTGACAAACAAGCGCCCCCAGAGGCGCAGACATTGACTGGACGGCGTGTTAGCAAGGAAAGCATACCACAAGCAGGCATTATCTGGCAAACTCACCATCGCCAAATGCCTTAAGAAGGGGCTGCACGATTTGACGAGCTTCATCAGTCGCCCAGTCGGATGCACCGTCGTCAGCAATGGCGCGAACCAAACCCTCCTCGCAGACGTTGCGATTGACATAGATAACGTGACAAGCGGCGCGGTCCATGTTGCTCATGGAGAGCTACCAGTCTCGCGACTGGAGCACCGTAGCCCTTCGGGCAGCTGAGAAATTGGACCAAGATGTTGTAGTGGGCGAAGATGAATACCCTCACGAAACACCAAGGACTGAATGTCCTGTGATATACGAATTCGAGCCGTGGTTTAACGTCGATTGCGAGCAGAAACGCCGAAGGGTTATCGGGGATCGTGATTCAGGGGCGTTGCGATCGCGAGGCGATTGGGTCAATGCGACTCAGGAGCCGCGAGACATGCGACGAGATGGATAGATGAAACCGTCGCAGAGAAACGAGGAAAGGAACCGATTACCGAAACGCGCCTGTGTGCAGCGTCGATGAATCAAAGACGTCCTAGAGTACTCGGGTTGGTTGTACAGCGAGACGGCTTTCGTGTGGAAGGGTCGGACGAGTTCCTTGGTTGGCGTCGCAGTGGCGGGAGCTGTCGGCAGACAACAGGGTCTCGAACAAATTGGGATGAAAATCGAGACTGGATGGCGGAAAAGGAAAAAATGTCAGCTGGGTGCGAGTTGAAAAAAGAAAGGTCGCGGCGACGTTGTGGGTTCGGCAAAGAGCGATGCGAGAAGAAAGAGAGAGGGCGAAATCTGCTGGAAATGATGGCGCGGTAGGTAGAGAGGCGAAAAGCTGAGTGAAGAAATGGTCGACACACGGGGTTGGAGACGAATGGGTCAAGATGGAATGGACCAACAAGGGCCAGGGGATGGAAGACAGAATGAGGAAAGCTACTAGAAGGAGAAGGGCAAGATGATGTGAGTGAGGGTGAGGGTGCTTGGTTGGAATCGTTGTGGCAGGATAGATGGAGCACGCGTGCGCTGGGACAATGGTGTCAGGGCCATGAAGGTATCTGGGCCTTACCTCGAGGTACCACTGCAGCAGGCGACGTGCTTGCTTAGCGGCGAGCAGAAGGTGTCGGATCCTGGTTGGAGAAGGGCTAGGGAAGGATGAGGGAAGAGCCCAAGCAGGACAAGGGCACCGACGGTCGAAGTAACCGGGTCCGGGGGAGGAGAGAGACGATCTGCGAGCGTGGCTGCAAGCGGAGGAGCAGGGCGTGGTCGCGATTGTGGATGGATGGTGCGACGTGACGACAATACCAGTGGGAGCAGAGGTAAAACTGGTTGGAACGGGGAAAAAGGAAGTCCAGAGAAAGAAGGGTCCAGAGAAGGAGAAGATGGGAAAGAGAATGAATGTTTCGGCGCGTGCGCGAAGAGAGAGAGAGGGTTGAGTTTGAGATGCGGGATGCGACAGGAAGCGCCTGGCTTGGCTTGCAGCGGGCGGCAACGAGGACTCGAAAGCAAGACGGACGAGGCGAGGCCGGGAAAAGGCGAAGACGGGAGGCAAAGCCTGCCGCTGGTAGTCAAGTACTCTGACAGTAGTGGCCTAGAGTATCTGCCGTGGGAGGGCGTGGAGAAAGAGAATCGACAGCGAGTCAGAGGCGACCGGATCGAGGGTCGACTCGACGAGTCGAATTGGCCAAGGAACGGATTAAGACAAGATTTTTTGGAGAGAGAGGAGGAGGAGGAGAGGAGAGAGGGAGGGAGGGAGGGAACGCGCGAGAGTCAGAGAAGAGGGTGAGGGTGAGGGAGAAGGAAAGGTCTCAGAGCCAGCCGGGGGGGCAGGAGTCAAAAAAGTGACTTTTACTTCCCGAGCAGAGACTGGGACCCAGCCTTTAGGGGACTTGAGAGGGGTTTTTACGGGGCAGACGTGCCCAAGAACAATGGATGGCGCAGCCTTGTGAAGAAGAAAAAGAAAGAAGGGTGAAAAAGTAACGTGGGAACAAGGAAAGGGGAAATTGATGCAGAAAAAAGAGGTCGGACGGAGAGGAAGCCCAGGCGCAAAGATGGATGGCAGTTACAGGATGATGATGAGGATGGACGCCATCACGCTCAGGCAGGAACAAAGAAAGGCTTGCTTTGCTCAGCTCAGCTCAGCTCAGGCAACCGAGAGAGGAGCGACTAGTTACTGCCTGGCGGTGATGTGTTTCTCGGTAGAAGTAATGATGTGTCGTTTTTCAGGAGCAAGGGGACATGATATCCCCAGGTTGTTTGATGACAGAATTGAAGCGATCACCAGGACAAGAAAACAGAGAAGCGACCCCTAGCTTAGCAGAGAGCTGGAGGTGAGTGATTCAACTGGTAGTGTACATAGAACACAGTGGAGAGAGGTGATGAGCAGTTCATCGATGGAGGGGTGCGCGACGAGGCTTGAACAAGGCTTGTGGATGCGCCGCGTGTTCCTGTGAGATAGGTGCCGGTTGCGCGGGGGAGGAAGCTGGATGGCTTGACAAGAGGAGTAGCTCCAGACGATGAGGAGAAGGTCACAGTGGTTGGCGCAGCGCCTGGTTCAGTTGAGGACAGGAGCTTCAAGGCGCGTCTGCGTCTGTGTCTGCTTGCTCTTGCAGGCGAAGGTATCCCTGTGTCGACCTTGGGAGGGCTGACATGGCATACAGGGGGGCGACCTGCACCCAAAAAGACAGGTCAAAGTAGAGAACAGTGGAGTTGGAGGGCTGCAGTCAATGGGAAGGGTTCCTTGGGATCCCCTATCGCGAGGTTCCAGGGAGGGCATTCTTGGGCGTGGTCGAGGATCGTCGTTACAGAAGGGGGAACGTGCTTGGTTCAACGAGACACGAGGCAGCAAGGCAGCCAAGCTAGAACCCACGGCGTGCTCCACTCGCTATGGCCGGGACCGGGGATGGGCTGGTCGAGCCTATCAGATAACGCGTACCAGCCCGCTGAGGGGACAAAGGGGGTCCAAGCGGGCTTCTTGGCTTGGCTTGGATTCTTCTGGCCGTCTTCGAGAATCTGGAATTGGCCACAGTTCCCACAATTATCGAACAAGGGACCGGCGGGGGCGCATGAGGGCTGCAACGCAAAGGGGAACCAAGAATCGTTCTCGAAGGAAGCACAGTCCGGCTGTACAGTGTACTCGGTGCAAGCTCCCAGAGGCAACGCATCACTGCCGGGCCACTCTCGGGCAGTTGGTGATAGGGCGCAGGACTGACAGTAATGGCTGATCATGCTCAGCGGGCAGATCCGTGGTGGTGATGCCGTCAGAGAGGACTCGTCGACCCATCGCCTCGACCAACCAGCTGGGTCCTGGCGTGCAGGTTGCTGTACTCAGTGCATTGTGGACACTGTCCAATCGAAGGTTTGGGTTCGGTTCATGAAGCTGCAGAAGGCTTCGAGAGAGGGCACCCGCATGGTCTCCACACTGTCTGATCACGGCTAGACGCGCACTGTGGCTACCACTCTATTGTTCCTGCGGCGTGGTTGCTTCAAGTTGCTGGGAGCCGAACCAGTTTGTAGATGGTCAATTTTGACACGATACAAGATATAATGCGCTGGCAGACCGGTCCAAGCATCAAGCATGCAAGTCAACTTACTCCAGCGGTGGAGTTGACGCTCCTGGAGGATGCCCGAGCTCTGTCCCAGCTGCAAGCTGTGCTGTGCTGTGCTGTGCAGTGCAGTGGAAAGACGTATCCAATCCGTAGATAGGCAGGAGGTTGCACCGGGGAGGCCCTTCCGTGCAGCCCGCAGACAACCTAACCCAGCCAACGACTGGCTTCGAATTACAACCTTGAACCATCCACATCCCACAACCGCCAGATTCATCATCAACGTCGTCATTCTTGCCCAGGCTATTATCGATGGGTCAGCCAGAGCAGCATATAGATTCTGGCTTTTGCGAGTGGCTAGGCTGCTCCCTAATGTCCAAGCTGCGTCTCTCGATGGAGCAGAAAAGCCAGCCTCATCCGCCTTCATTCTTCAACACTCTGTCTCGCCCTTCCATTCCCATGCCCATTCCAAACCCCGTCCGCATCCGCAGTAGGCTTGCTGCCCCGCACCGCACCGGCTCAAAACTCTCCCCGCCTCTAGGTGAGGTTGTGAGGAGCAGGAGAACCAGGAGGTACGCGGGAGCTACGCTTTGGGGATAGGATGGCTGCCAATGGAGTCACGAGAGTCACCGGCAAGAATGGAGGCCGTAACTGGCTGACCTGGCACCTACACCAACATACGCAGCAGTTTGTGCCTCTCCGTCACGTCACACAATGCAAGCTCGGCACGAGAACCCTGGGCGTACAGTATCTTCTCGTCCATACCCCACGCTCATCCAAATTCCCCGGCTTTTTGGCAACCACCCCCCGAGCAGCGAATCGCTGACACTCCAAACCTTCCGGTTTCCAGAAGCAATGCCGAAAGTGGCAAAGTGCTTGGAGGCTCCGGAGTGGCTTTTGATCGTCACAGGCGGTTCCCAGCCTCCAGCCAGCCCCACGGCACACACGAGGGAATGATGAAAGAATTGGATTTCCAGGGGGGCTTTGTGAGATGTGAATGCCAGGGTGGTCCCGCCCACCCAGTGCGCGCACGCCGTTGCCGGGATCCAGCTGATTGTCTACCTTGCCGTCACCCTCTCGAGGGAACCCACGGGCAACAAAAGACGAGCAGGACGAGGTCATGAACTGTACCCAACCCATGACAACGCGGGGCGAACAGCTCACCCATTCTAGTAACGAGCTTTCTCGTCTGCCATGGCGTACAAGAGCCGAAACTCTGCAGCCTCAAGCTATAACATCTCCACCCCCAGACTGAGGATGATGAGAAAGGAGAATTCGATCAATCCATTACTCAGCTCCGCTGGACCTTGACCCTGTCAACCTCGAACCTCCGAACCGAGGCTCAGCATCACATCTCTCCCAAACGGGCAGCTCCTAATTACTTTGACTTTGCACCCCACATAGGCACCGAGCAGAGTCTTGCGCGCCTAGAATGCTGCTCTGCACAAAGTAAGGATATGCTCGCTCGTCCTTTTCAGGGGTCTCGACTTTTCGAAACCGCGTCTTCGGCTGGCTTTTTTGCCATATCGCCAAATCCTCACCCCAATTTCGTTTCGTTTCTTGCCTTCTCTGGAGCTCTTCATTCCGCCTTGTTCCCATCTGGGTGGTGTCTCCAGGCTCGGCGCCGACGCCGCCTCCGTGAGCCCCGCGAACCTCCACAGCCAGCCCCCGAAGCAGCTCCCGATGGCTTGACCTTGCCTTCGGGGCCGGCAAGGATGGAATTCCGTCGTTGTTGATTGATTGTGTGCCTTGGCCCCTGATGGGCAAATCGACAAAGCCTCTATCCGGAATCGGGCAGGTCACCTAGCCTTAGTGGACGCCCGCCATTGTCCGCCATATCTAGAGCCCACGGCAGGCTTAGAGGCGCAGAAATACACCCTCTGGAGTGCATGGCGGGCGTACCTCGATTCCACCTTTAGGGTTTCTTCATTCCTTGCCTTATTCACTCGTTCCAGTTTGTCCAGGCACCATGCGTCGATAGCGTGAGCCCCTGAAGGGCCACCTTGAAGAGGTTATCGAAGCTTGCCCACCTGCCTGCCGTGAGTGACGAGCCACCAACGATACCGAGGACTCAAAGAAGCATCCCAATGTCGATGAGGCTAAAACCGACTGGCCCTTCGATCTGACAGGAACCAACCAGCACCCGTCATAGCACCCATCCGTCCAAGCTAGACGTGCCCACACACACGGCTCAATGTCTTGGCAGCCTCGTCCGTCGACCCCGCGACCAAATGGCAGGGCAGGTCTGTCTTGGACCCTGCTGTCTCGGAAACAACAACGCTCAAGCTCTGGCGAGAGGCCCCATGGCACCACCAGTCCAAGCACAAGAGGGACGCAACCCAACCAAGATGGCCTAAACCAGGACCCTCGCCGCATCCGCCCCGTGTCCTTGGCTGCTGGCCCGTATCCCCTCTGATGTCGGTCAAAGATCCCTTGTCTTTGAGTCCCCTGGTATCAATCCAATTACTACATGCTATGTACATAAACCACCACTACTGCTCATTCATCCTCCGGGTCCCTCCCCTACTGCGTGAGGTAAGCAGGAGGCCGGCACGGCAAGCAAGCAAGCAAGCAGGTAACGCACGTCGCGCGCCCTCAATCCAGCGGCCGTCCCCCCCGCTCTCAATTTCAGCCCGCCTGGGTCGCTCCAGTGGAGCGGAGAAATCGCATCAAACAACTTCCCTAGTGGGCTATCAAACATGCCCAACCTTGGAGAAGCATCCTGGTCACTTGTGCCGCATCATTGCTTCTGTTTGATCTCGTTAACACGTATGTACAGAGTATGTATCGACGAGTTGAATGCCAAGTTATGACATCAACTTGAACATCCACAGGTTCGTCAATCTCCTTGACGCCATGCCATGCCATGGTAGCGCTCCCCGGGAAGGAAAAAGGAAGGAAAAAAAAAAAGTCATTAGACTGCAACGGAGTGCCCCCATGTTCCGAAACGCCGGGCTGCTGTCGCCCTCTGCAACTCACTTGCCTTTGGAACCCCCCCTGCTTCCCAGAAACAACAGCATCGCCTGAGTGGATGCCCTTATCTTGCGGTTCCCATATGACCAGGGCCATGGTACTGGGGACACCATGCCACCTTCACCGTCACGTGGCTTGCAGTCTGGAGTTGGAACTGGAGACAATGAGGCGCCTCTGAGATCGATCCCGTCTCCCCTACTCCGTACTGCAGAGCTCAAATCTCAGCGCTCTGACTGGCACTGGACCTTGTCGTGTTATTGGGGTTTCTCCCACCCCACGGACTCGAGGGACACGGTCGTATCTGAGCTGCTCCCTGATGCTCTGGACCGGCCGGTTTGAGGGATACCCGCTGAGAATACCACTCTGTGAGAGCCGCAGTCAGCGCCCAAGTTAATAATGACCCAAACCCGCCAGCCTGGTTATCAAGGTGAACCGTGTTCATGCCGCTCGCCCGGGACGATGTTGACCAGGAGCAAACGTTCCGCAAACCAACTTGGATGTTTGGTCCAGAGATGATGAGGCTATCCTCTTGACTTTCAGCATCTATGTTGTATTGTAGTCATGGGTATAATGATAATTTTGGGGAAGGAGAGTAAGCCCTAACCTAGGTAGAGTAGACCCTATATAGTATCTTTTAGATATTCACCTGCCCTTGCACTGAGGCAAAGCATAGCTATCAATATTCTTCACAAAGGTAGGTGGTCAAGTTGGTGTGTCAAAACATCTGCTCCTCAATGGGAATGTCTATTACTTGCAACAAGCCCAAGCAAGAGTTATGCCAAAGTAATAAATAATACCAACACTGCTCTAACAACAGCCTGTTGAGGCTATCCATTGTTCATTCTCTGCTAAAGGTATTCTGCAACAAATGATACCTGGCCGGGGACGCATCTCCATCCATGTCCAGCCGCTGAACATGTATGATGCAAAACCAAACGCCATCCTCTGTAATGCGACATGCTTGCTGCCTGCGCGCGCTCATATGTGTGTGCTTCTATTCTCTTTTGCTTCTATCTACACCCCTTCCCAACACGTACGTCTTGCTTCACGTCTTGCACATGCTTGCACCAGGTCGTGGTCTCATATCATGTCGTTGCCGCTTCTTGGTGTCGTGACAAAATGGTCTACCAGTGCTCGCCGCCCTGGGTCGCTTGATCATTGTCTTCGGACAGCCGTTCTACCCGGTCCGAGTTCCTTTCTCGTTCTCGAGATGGATCTCAGCCACTTCGTTCGAGTCCCCATCACTGCCTGCTCCAGTAGGCACCGCGATAACCCCCTTGCGCTCCCAAGTTGCGTTCTGGATGTCTGCCAGAGACCCCTGGTGGCTGTCATCGGGGACCAGCGGCTCCAATTGTTCGTCTGCAAGATCGTGACCAGTCATCAATGTATCGGGGTCATCGAACTGGCTCAGACCCCGCTCATCTGATGATGAGTCCAGTTGAACTTCATCTGAGGCAATATCTGCAACCGTAGAATCCTCGGCGCCGCTGCCGGCCAAGCCCTCAAAGTTCCAGGTCTGAGTAAGGCTGATAGACTTGGAAGTGCCGAGTTGCTGGTAACTATCCTTCACGTCTACACCCTCGTCCTCGATACTGTCATGGATGGTCTCGATACGATTGGCGCCCTCGTAGGGAGGAGGATCGTCGTCGTCATCTGGGCCAGCCAGTGCCTTCACAGCGACACTACCCGATCCACGATCGCCCCGACGGCGAATTGCTGCGGCTCCGGTCCCAGCGCTCGACGACCCAATCAGGGAGGAACCCTCGCCGAGGCGCTGACCTTCCCCCAACTCGTCATCTTCTTCCGAGTTCTCTTCGCTGGTTCGGTACTTCTCAGAGATGACTCCGAACCGAGATCCGCCTAAAGGGATGCTTGAACGGCGGCGGTAGAAGAGAAGATACGCAGCTGACGTGATGCAGGCTGAGGGGTCCGATACTGGGCTGACGGATGAATCTAGCAACTTGTTAGTGATCTGCTACGACAAGGAGAGAAAGGCAAGTCACCCACCATTGTAATTATACCAACGTCCATCAACAAAGTTCTTGGCATAGGCAGTGTAGTGGCCTCCGCCAAGTCCGCCGTAGTGGTCATCGACGGCAATCAAGTCGTAGATCTCGTCCTTGCCCTCCTCCTTTTGAATGACGCGTGAGGTGAGGTCAAGACCCTCGATAGGGAAGTCGACTAGCACATCCAGCTTATCTCGCCGGTACCCAGAGCTGCTGAATCGTTTGAGGTGGGCTACAAGGATATCGGGCGACTTCCAAAGATCAAACTTCTTGCTCGCTCGGCGGTGCTCCTTGCAGCGAGGACAGTACCACATGTCCTGCTCAGAGAGGATCTCGGCCCTCTCGAACTCATCAAGGCATTCTTCGAGAGTGATACCTCGAGTGCGACGATTGTTCCTCCGTCTCTGGCTAATCTTAAGAGCAGGGTCATTGAGAGTCTCTGGGTTGGTGAACGTTGCCACTCCTTGATCATCGAAAGGACTGTTTGGAGAGCCACCAAACACCTTGAGCCAAGCGTCCTCGTTCCAGTTAACAACGAGACCCTCGCCCAGGCGGATCAAGGGGCCGCCATCAGCCACAGCTGGAGGCGTAGGCTGAGACTTGACAGTCTGTAGCTTGTGTTTCTTATCGGTACGCATCTGCTTGTCTCGCCGCTTGTTGCCCTTCTTGCCATACGTCTTGTTATTCTTGTTGAACTTCTTACGTCGGCCAGCCACCTTTGAAGGACGTCCATTGAACGCCTGTAACGTGTTAGCAGCGGAACTGTTGACAATAGAACTGATGTTGAGGCTTACTCGGGCAGGCTTCTGCACCTCCTCCTCCTCGCTTGAATCATCCACCATTCGAGTCTGTGACGTCTCAGCCTTGTGGCTCTCGTCGTTGGTGCTATCGTCATCAGGACCCGATGCTGTGCTGCTATCGGCCTCCACACTGGCAGCATCGTCATCGTCAACAACCGGCTCAGGGATACGATCCGTGAGCTTGGGCAGAAGCCTATGGGGGTCAACATGTGACCAGCCAGTCGGCACACCACCGTCCGCTGCGGTATCTACAAAGTAGCTCAGGTCGAAAAGATTTTGGAGCTCGGGGTCCAGGAAGCCATCTGGGTTGACAAATTTGGGTCGCTTCGAGTTGAAACGTCTCAGGACCTGGGGCTGATGAGGAAGAGGGGCGTTGGCATCGGTCGAATCCTTCATGTGCACATCCACCAAGTCGTCCTCGCCCTCCACAGAAGTGGCAACAACCTTACTATCGCCTGAAGAATCAGCATCTGAGGCGGAGGTGAGGACGATTTCTCCATCAGCATTATCCGAACTCTCTTCCTGAGTATCCTTGAGTTTGGACCAAGTTGAAAAGGTAGCAATCTTCTCCAGAACCTTTCGTGTAATGATGTCGATGTTGGATGCGTCTTCCTTGGTCAAGCAGATGAAGCTGGGTGGTGAAGCACTATCTCGGCCACGGCCGCTGGACGATGTCGCTATTCTATGGAATACTGGCACCACCATCTGCTCGTATCGTGGGTCATCCCATGAAACAGTCTCGAGAGGAGTATCGACATCCAGCATGGAACGATATTTCTTAGTTCGTGCCTTGTGAGGCCAGTTTGTCGGGACAGCTTCCAGCTCGTGGAATGTGACGATATCGGACTTACCGATCTCCTCACTCACATCCTGGGTGTTATCATAGATCTTGAAGAACCGATCTTTGAATTCTTCGCCACCCATCAGGCGCTCTGGGGGAACACCGGTCCGGATTGAGACGAACTGCTTGAGCTGCTCGATAGCGCTATGCTTGGGCAACTCAACCTCGATTGAAACGGGGGCATCGCTCAGGGGCAGGAACGTGACCGTGCCGTGCCACACATCCTCAACGGGCAGCGGAAGGGTCAGGTTGTTGAAGGGATCGAATGTGATGCTAATCTTGCCGCATTCAGGGCACTTCAGAGTCGACTTGTACATTCCAGTGAAGAGGTCGGCGATGACGGAGTCGTCTCGGCGTCGAGTAATATCCCAAACCTGGTCGGCCATCTCCTTGATAGCGGCCGGGTTGTTAATCATGTCGTCTGTTGAGTCCGGCTTTTCGATGTAGGGCTTCTTCTTGACACGGCTAAGGTCCTCCTGGAGACCATCCAGCAGGAAACCAAGGAACTCCTGAGAATCTTGCTGGCCCCAGCCAGAGAACGTTGGCCGGCAACGACCGATAGTTGTCTTGAAGTCTCGCGGAACCACCGAGCTTCTGCCTTCTGTGTAAATCTCCTTCAGTAGGTTTCCATACGTCATAGCAACCTTTCCGTTGTACCCCAGAGGATTGGTTTTGTTGACCTCATCAACGTAGTCGTCGGTCAAAAAGTACTTGGTCAATTCTTCGACGCTTCGAACACACTGCAACGCAGAGTTCATGTAACAGGTATTTCCAAGGTTCTGAAGACCAACTGCGCCCACACTGCGTCCGGACTTCTTGCCCATTCGGCCCCGAGTCAGAGGACCACCAAGCGCAGGGCTACTCCGGCCACTTGCGTTGGACGAGGCTAATCCGCTGCCCCGCGTGGGGATGGACTTTTCGTTGGCGCGGCCTTGTCCAGTATATGTGCTGACCCACGACTTGTCGATCGCTTCATCAATGACAAGCGTTTGGTCCGTGACGAGGTCGAAGATTGCTAGCGTCGTCTTGCCGTTATAATTTGGATCGGTGGTTCTATCCTCCAAAGTAGACTTCACCTTGAGATCTCGAACCTCTGCAAAGGATGGGGTATCAAGAAGCAGCTTTGACCACGAGTCGGCAGGGTTCGGCTCCTCATCTGCTCGGTCTGGAGAATCGGGAGGCGTGAGAGCTCGGGAGGGTTCCGAGGGGCCCGCTTCCTGCTGGATTTGAGGGACCATGAACAGGCGGATCTTGCGATCAAGAGGAACGCCAGTCGCTGTCTTGAGTTCCTTGATGAAGGTTTGCGCATGGTACTTGCGGCTTCTGGAGATTCTCAGCGGCGGAGGATTGTTGGCTTTGAGGGACTGCTCAATTGGTAACGGGCTGACCTGGGACCAGAGTCGGTGAACGGTGAAGAGCGGTGGGTGGAACTCGTAAAGAATATTAGATTCGTCGCCAGGGGCCGCAGTGTTGATAGCAGTGCGAACGATGGCTTCTTGGCCTTCCTTGACCCCATACCACTCAACCACCATCTTCCAAGCATCTTCAGGGAAGAGAGTAAACTCGTCAAGGCCGAATCCTGGTTTGAGGAGGGTGAAGTTGCCGCCACTGGGATCCTTGAGCACTTCTTGGATAATGTCTGAATTGTCCACAGGGCCCAGGGCCTCGGGTGTGCCATCCTTGCTCTCCTTGGTGTCTCCACGTAGCGCGAGCGCCTTCTTGACCCAGGTGTTGGAAACGAGATACGCCTTGGCGCCTTCCTTGATAGGCTCTTCGTCAAAGGCCTTTAGAAGAGTCTCGATTATCTGAACCTGCTCCTTCAACGGGGGCATCGCTGGAGTAGAAGAGTTAGCTACGAGTTGGATGCTCTGCGGGCTGGCGGCATCGCAAGGCTTACGTTGTGAGGAGGCAGCATCAGCGGTTGATGGTGTAGGTTCTGAGGGGTCAACGCTCATGGCTCGGGGTAGGGTGCTGGTGGATGGTTGAGAAGGCCCCTCGGTAGAGTCAGCGGGCTGGGAGGAAGCCATGTCGACGTCGCGGGGCTTATCCGCTTCGTTTTCTGGATCCATGCTGGAAGCGCGTCGTTTCAAAGGCGATGAAGAACGGTGAGGCAGGTCCGCATCGCCATTCATAATAGCACGATGGGAGAGACGCAAGGGAGACTGGCTTCTGGCCGTGGATTGGGCCGGGCCAGTCTCTTCGCCGCCACGGTCGCTTTCGAGAGAGAGATCGGCGTATGCAGAGGCACAAGGGCTCGAGGCGGTGGACGAGGCGTAGTCGGCAGAGACGAGGGAACTGGTCTGCTGCTGGAGGCGCGGGGGCAGGCTCGAGGCGGGCTGGGAGTCAGCCCGGAGGTAAGAGGGAGTGTCGGGGCGCGAGGCCACAGAGGCGGCGGAGAAGGAGAGGGCGGGATCGTCGTCGACTTCGCACGAGGGCAGGACCGAGTCGGGGGAGGGCGAGTCAATGGAATCCTGGTCGTTGTCGACGGGGCGGGAGAGCTTTCTCTTCTTTGAGGACGACGTCTTGAAGGCGAGCTGCCCGGGCAGCTCGGGGTCGGGGTCGGAGGGGGTGGAGGGGAAGACGAAGGCGTAGACGGGGACGGGGGGCAAGGGCACCGACGACGGAGGTGGAGGTGGAGGAGGAATTGCCGGGGAACGGGAACGGGAACGACAACGACGAGAGTCGGAAAGAACGACGGCCAAGGCGATGGGAAGTCGAGCAAGAGTCGTGTTGCATCTAGAAACCAAGACCAACAAAGCCAGGCCGTTCGGCGATACTTTTTTTCGGCGGAGGAGAGAGTGAGAGGGGGGGGAGGAAGCCTCTACTGTGATTTTTTTTAGACTGATCTCCCAAAGCACAAACGAGAAGAGGGCACAAATAGTGGCATCGGGGCTGTGGAGGCTGGCCAAGCGGTGACACGGTGGGGCTCCTTAAATAACTGGAATTTGGTGGTGTACAGCGCTGTACTGTAGGTAGGTAGGTAGTTGTGGCGGGGTGGCAGGCAGTGACGATGATGAAGACGGGAGGAAGCCTAGAGAAGATGATGGTGAAGGAGAGATGTGTTGTAGAAGCTGTTGCTGATTGCTAACGGCAGCTGAGATAGAACGTGCTCGATTGGTGAGGCTCCCTGAGAAACTGCAAACGGCAAGTTTGCTGCTGGCTGCAATGCACAATGGACGAAAGAGAGAAAAAAGCCCTGCAGTGTGTTCCTGTCTCGAGAATGGAAGGGTCGGCGCACGAGTGGAGGGGTCGTTAGGGAGAAGAAGAAGAAAAAGATGTGACATCAGTCGAATGATTGGCTGCATGCGATTCATTCTTTTGATTCCAGCTGCCTGCTTACCCGCCTTTTTCTCCACCTTGGAAGGTGTTCTACCGGATACCCGCCGTGCTTAAAAAAATACCACGGCACCTAACATTCGCGGGCCCCGGGGGCGTCCACAGCTGGCATGTGCCCTGTAAACGTGCCCTGGGTAGGTCATCAGGTCCACCAGGGCCCTTAACCAGCCGCTCCAGATGGGAGGGTTTCAAGTCGACGATCTCATCCCCAGGTAGATCTCCGTTTCATTGTTGAGATTCGAGTCAATGAACAAGGGTCCTATTCTATTCTTGAGCTAATTCGTAACTCTACCGTCGGTCAGGTTAGTGAAAAAGCTCCGTCGTCAACTTCCCGTCAGCAGGCAACCACTAACAAACGCTGAGATCGGCATCAAGGTTTTTCGCAGTTTTTTCCCCTCCTCCCCTGTTGGTTTCTAGTCCCACACAATGTGTGTGTACCCCTGCCCCTGGCGGCCAAGTCCATTTTGGAATGTGCAAATGCCAATGAGTGGTACGCTCCCAGATCTTTGTGCAACACCATCTCCGTATCGAGAGGCTCTCAAAAAGCTCCGAGACAAGCACGCCGTGTTCCCCCCCCCCTTTCATGTGAAAGCATTGACTAGGTTCTCATTGACGTCTAGCCTAGTACCTGCGACTCGAACAGGGACTGGTTAGACATGTTAAATGGTTCAAGACCGAGCAAAGATCACTACAGCATTTACGATCCTATCACATCTCAAGTCACATAATTACTCAACTCCTTTCTAGCCAGTCATCTGAGCCATAGCTGGCAGTAACGTGCTTCTTCTAGAATGCAACTACTACGTACATCCCTTGCGGGTACTAGACTAATGCTACTAAGTAATGCTACTATCTTCAGGAGCTTTGTCCTCCCAACTGTACAGGAATACCTCTCATAAGGTAAAGCTCCAAAAACATCCTCCGCCCCATGGCCCAAGCCATGCCTCTCCTGTCTACCTGTGTCGTGATCGCGCCTTTGTCTAAACCTGCTCCCTCAACCGGCCTTGACAACAACAAAGCGCCAACGAGAAAACAACCCTTGTCAAAGTATCCAAGACGTCATGTAACCATGACCTTCCCTAAAGCTTCGCATCCGTATCTTCATACTCGCTCACATCCTTTACCGGTCGTGCGCCTGAGCTGGCCGGTAGGTTCGCCTTGAAGACCCGCACATCGGTGATTTCCACGGCGGTCGAGACGGCAGATGGCACATCTCCAGCCGGCGCCTCCTCATCGGCCTTCTTCTGAGCCTCCTCTTGTCTCTTCTCAACTCCCTCGGCTTTGCCTTGCGCGTGCAAATGGATCGATAATCTGGCCCTGTCGCTCGAGGCAGGGTCGAAATACTTGTTGAAAAATTCCACCATCTCGGGCTTCGTCAGCTTCTTGACTTGCTCAGCATCTCGTTGAGCTGTAACTAGTTAGCATGCTCCTAGCCTAAATATTTATATTTGCTTATACTTACCGAGCTCAAAGTCATAATACTCGCTGGTGATTTGTGACCAATGGCGAGACGACTCTTGGTCTAAGTTTCGAAGCTTCTCCAGTCTACGGATGACCAGACTTCGCTTGTGGCCCTCGAATTCTGTCTCGCTCATCTTCTCTAGTGTCTCCACGTATCTCCTAAGGAAAGCCTCAATTCGGGAATCCAAAAATTCGGGAGTCATCTCGCTCTGGATGAGGAAGCGGAAACCGTACGTGGTTGAAAACACTCGGGGTCCGCTGAAGACAATGTAGCCCAGCTGCTCCTTGGTCCGGAGCTGATCGAAAGCGGGCTCGTGCAGCATCTGGTCCAAAAGTAGAGTCTTGGTGCGAATCACGCGGTCTTCTCTACTGCCGACATAAAACCAAGTCTCGACGCAGTGGTTGACGTTAGCAGGGTCCTTCAGAGTCTTCTTAAAGACATAGTTGGATCCTCGTGGCAGGATGAGCGACCGAAGGACAGGCCATTGGGCCCGAGGCAGGGTTCGAGGCTTCAGGATAGACTCCACCATATCTGTGATCTTCAGAGCATCTTCCTTGTACATGTTGCCATGCACATAGACCTCGATGAACAGCCGGCCCAGCATCTGCTTCTGGAACAGTCGGACGCCCTCCACCGTGATGCTTGGAAGCTCCGCGGCAAGCTCTTCCACTATGAAGTCTCGCTCCGGTGCTGTCAGCCAGGTGGTATAATCGCCAACTTGGTGATAGGACGACTGAAGCTGCCAGTTGTTGTACCCCCTGGTCAGGCGTTCCCTGACAATCTCAAATCGGTCTTCTTTGATATCCAGATCTCGCATCGTCGTGACGACTTGCTCCAGAAGCACGGGAAGTTTATCATTGTAGCCACTGACGTTCAAGCACAAGCCACGCGAATCAAGACTGACATTGTACTGCAAGCCAGCGAGTTCCGCATCGTATGAGTACTCTTCCAACGCATCGCGTACCAAATCAGAAAAGAGACGAGCCTTAACGTCGTTTTCGGCACATGAATCGATCAGTGGCGTCTTCAAACTGACAATGACGTTGGCACGAGGAACCCAGAAGGTATCATCCTTCTTCCACCATGTCCTGGCGATGCCGTCGTTGCGCAGCACCCGTGGGTTGAGCGCTGGCTCTGTGACCTCCTTCTTTTCAACCTCAAGCTGGTTGGGGATGAACTGGTTCTTATGGGGCAGGTGAAGGGATGACAGGCGCTCGCTGGGCGAAACAGAGGCGGCTTGCCTGATCTCTTTCATGAGATCTTCGGGGATCTTCTCGTAACGATACTCGGTTCCATACCACTTCTCCTTCTGGTCCCAGTTACCAGGATAGTTGCGAGATACAATGACCATTCGGAAATTGTCAGGGCGAATCATGGCAAGGGCGTCCTCGATTTTCTTAGGCTCAAACGTCCGAAGGCGACTGTGACCGCTGAGCAGCCACTCTCGAGGTAGGGGTTTTTGCATGACCGAGCTGATTCGGCTAGTGAAACGACTGGCTGGCGTCTTTTGCTTAAATTTGAAATCCACGTCCGCCATTCCCTTTTGCTCCTGGAAGATCCATTCCTGGGGCGGAGACTCGCGAAGAAGGGTGATGTACTGGAAGAAAATCTTGACGATTTCCGGGTAGTTCTTAAGGCCCTGTGTCATGTTAGCACTACTTGGTTATAAACAGACTGTGGTAATGGCGTACCTCTTCCGTCAAGCGGACCTGGACGTCAAAGATGCCGGGAGTGCCAGGGCAGACAGGGTAAGCACCTGCGCTGAGGCCGTTTGCCCAGCCCTTGGACTTGATGTACGACATGACGCTCCCAGGACCTTCGTGTCCAATGAGGTGGCTGATGTACCTGCTGGGTTGGCTGGCAAACATGAACTCCTCATCGATGAAGGGAAAGTAGAGATTCAGCTCCCGCGAATCCATGACGGGCTTTGCAAAGCATTGCATGCCGAGATCGGCCTCTCTGAAGGGAAGCTCGCCGGGCCATCTGTTTGGTGGGAGCTTCTTGTTGACGACGGGAGAGAAAAGCTCCACGACCCATTTCTGCAGAACGTCAAGCGATTCGCGGCCCAGGACAACCAGCTTCATGCGGTTGGCCGAGTAGTGTTTGGCATGAAACTCGATGAACTTGTCCCGAACATTGATACCACGAGCCTCAGGGAGGGTCTTGAGCACCTCAAAGTTACCCGTCGAAAAGTGGCAGAAGGGATGATTGGGATTCGACAAAGATTTCTCGAGCTGATGCAACCGCCAGGTGTCATTCTGGAGATTCTTCTTGTTCTCGGAATCGACGGCCTTCAACTCCCTATCCAGCGTGCTGGGGAGGAATAGCGGCTCGATGAAAAACTGGGCGAATCGGTCCAGGGCTTCGCGCAAGGGAGAAGGGTTGCTGTCTGAAGGATCCTGGTCGTTGGCTGGCTTGGCGGCGACGTCGAAGAAATAGTTGGTCGAGGTCGGGCCGGTGTAGGCATTGGAGCTTCCCGAATGAGCAGACAGATACTGACCGTATTCATTCTCAATTGGGAATTTCTTGGTGCCCATAAAAAGGAGCTAGAGATAGAGACAGAGGTTAGCGAGTGCGCCGGAGGCAATTGAGGGCATCTGAGGGTGCTGGCTTACATGTTCGACCGCATGGGCCATGCCCGGGATATCGGACTCATCACTG